CACTTTCCAGCTGGGTTCTGAGATGCAGATAAGCCAGTCATCTCCATGAAGCTAGCACTTACCTTAAGAAGGAAAATGTAAAACCCTATTGCCTGGGTGCTGGGTCACACTTCTAATATGCTGATTGCTGGACTTTCAGCAACAATGCCAAACCCTTTTGGGATAGCAATGGTGCTCACTTGGGATAATGGTGTCTGTGACCACAGCATGACTCAAGGACTTACCTGTGAAACATGCTTTTCAGAGGAAGTGGGCTTGGGACAGGGTGGGTGAGTGGAGGTCCTAAAGCAGGATGTGGCCAGCACATCAAAACCTGGTTCATCAGAAGGCCATAGGGTTATAGGATCCCATTGTACCTACTGGGGAATTTAATTTTCCATTTATGAGTCCAAGCAATGAGTTCCACTGGAAAGGCAGCATTTCAAACCCTGAGTTGACAGCAGGTCAGGACTCACTATCATCAATTGTACTCCCCTCTTACTCCCATCCCTCGGCAGCATCCATCCAGGGGAGCCCACTCCTTCGTGCTTCTGGCCCAGGCATGTCCAGTTGGCCCCTTGGGAACGGAACAGTATTCTGTGTGTTCCTGGGCCACATACAGAAGGGCTTTTCACCTTTCTCTCATCACGAGCTTTCCTCTGGAGATACGGATCTACTGCAGTTCCTCAAGAACGAACGAGGACTGATCTGTCTTCACTTACATTTGCTGCAAGGCCAACCATCAGGATCTGATGTTCTGTTCCCTTTCACTCAGCAACACGTCCAAATGCAGTTCAAGAAATGGAGCAAAAGAAATTTTCAAGAGCCAGTACTTTGCTTAAAAATGAGATATGACTCTTGCTACTCTGAAACATTCTTCACCTTCTATGCACAGGTGATTACGCTGAAATTGTTACCTGAGCATTTGTGTCTGGGTCAATCAACAACTATATTGTGAATGCCTTTTATGTGGGAGTACCACTGCAAAGCCATGAACAGTCTACTGGAGATTGGTGCTCAGGATTTTCATTTCAAAAGGAAAAGGTTATTTCAGTTTCCCCAAGGACCCAATGCAAGAGGAAGAAAAGGCTCGGGGTCAAGGACCAGAATTGGAGGCAGAGGCAGGGTGGGGGTGGTGAGTCCACACACATCACCTCGTTTAGGTCTTGGCCTTGTGAGGAAGTGCACAGGCAAAGCATCTTTAAGGCTGGAGAAATTGCTGCACAAATGGTTAAGATTAACCAGGGGTTGCTCAGTAAGTGGTGGAGGACTTGAAGCAGGTCTCCCTGGTTTCCAAGCCCCACCCTCTGCTGCCTAGCCTGGAGGGGAACTGGGGTTGAACTCAAGCGATGGTGACCTTGAGCAAGCCACCGAGCTCTCCAGCCTGGAGGATGATAAGCCTCCTTCCGGCTTCACATCAGCATTTCAGTTATGGCACTAGCCTTGGCAGGCCCTGATAAGGCCTTGACTCCCCCCTTTGTTCCCCATGGCCTTGGTAACAGCCGGAAAGCAAGGACACAGGCAGCAGGAACCAGTCTTATCTTCTAGGTCGATGCCTGTTCATCAAGAAAGTGGCAAAAGTTGCATTCACATTAGTAAGCCCTCAACATACCTTCATTCATCGTTTGACACAAAATTTTATGACATCTGTCAGAGGAATGTAGCCCTGACAACCCTCAATGTCAAAAAGTGCATATAATGGAAGGAACACTTCTTGCATTGCCTGCCATTCCTAGCAATTTCTTTTCAAATCCGTCTCCAATTTTCGAAATGATGGCTCCCTGAACACCTCAGCATTTTGTTTTGATTGGAGAATTCAGAGGGCTTTTTTGGTATGTATATCTGAGGGCATTTTTTTTTTTTAATCACATTTACGAATAGTGTTGAAAAGGTAAAAAAAAATGGTTAACATAGATTCAAGCAGTTTTTTGAAGTGAAAAAGACTTTTCTTGGAGAAAAAAAAACCAGGCCCAAGGTTTTACTCTGGAGGATACATAACAGTATACACAAAAGTTAGATTTTGTTTCTGCTAATGATAGCTCTAAGAGCAGTAAGTACTGTTCTCGTCAATGCCAGCCTCAAGTTTCAGAATGTACTCACAAAGTGCTTTTCTTTTTTCCTTAATAAGACATCATAGAATTCCCATCACAAAATTAAGTATATTTGGAAGATGCTTATATGCTTACCTTGTAACCTTTCTCTGTGGGGTTCCACATTGTTTTACACTGAACAAGGCAACATCTCTGGCTGTGCATTCTGAAATCTGGGCCTGCTAAGTCTTGACAATGGAATTCAGAGTATGAACCTTGAATTCTTTGTCTGCGCTACATGGTTTTCTAAACGGTGACTGTATCAGCGTCCAGCCTTGGTGCTGGCACTCTGAAGACCTGTCACTGCTCTCCCTTGACCTCACAGAACAGCACGTTCAGAGATAATCACGCTGGGTCTGACCTAAGACGTGTGTCTTGTGGGGACAGGGCGTTCTTCCTTTTCTACGTATCGGAACCATCAGTTAATAACAATTCTATGAACTGGCATGAGGCCACAGTAATCCACTGATTTCATCTGGTCCCTGGAACCCAGGGAGGAAGTCAGGCCCTAAACCACCCACGGGGGTCAGGGCAGCTGCAGGCTGACTCAGCCTCTGGCCTCATCCTCCCACAACTGTACCTGCCTCCTCATCTGGTTCTATCCATGTCCAGGAGCTGCTTTTCTTCTGCTGCAAAACGTCTGAAACAAGCGGAAGAAGAGCCCAAACAGGGCTTTGGAGTTGCACAGGCCTGAATTTGACGTCTGACCACACTGCTTGCGAGCTCTGGACCCGAGAGCAGGTTCGCTCAGCCTCCCTGAGCCTGTTGTGTAAGTAAAATGGGGCCGAGGTGAAGCTGAAAGGACAGATGCAAGGCGCTCATGACAGGTTGTGGCCCTAGGTATCTAAGATTGTCCTCACAGCTACCATCGCCACGTCGGGCAGTTAGTGTCCCAGCACCTGCCAGTCCTCTGGTGGTCTCTGGGCACAAGGGGCGGCAGCAGGAGTGGCCATTGAGTCCGCCTGAGGTACTGTGATGCACACCCATCACCTGGCTCACACATTCCAGTCCCACGCTAGTAACCTGTGCGCTAGGTACCCATTACACAGATGAAGAATCTGACTTAGGGACCTGACAGGCTAGGCAGCTAGGAAATGTGAAGTCAGATCTGGCTCCCCAGGTGAAAAGATGCTGGCATAGGAAAGCCTTTGAGTGGAGGCAGGGATATCTGTGTCTAGCTGGGGGTGGGCAGGGGAGTGCCCAGGGCTGGTGAAGATGCGAGAAGGCTGAGACACAGAGAGTTCATATTTGCTTTTAGCAAGAGGACAGTTTTTTATTTAAATACCAAAAACATTTTGTATCGGGGTATAGATGATTAACAATGTTGTGACAGTTTCAGGCGAACAGTGAATGGAGTCAGCCATACATACACATGTATCCATTCTCCCCAAACCCCCCTCCCATCCAGGCTGGCACAGAACATTTGAGCAGAGTTCCATGCGCTATACAATAGGTTTTTGTTGGTTATCATTTTAAATATAGTAGTGTGTACATGACCTTCCCAAAGTCCTAACAATCCCTTTCCCTGGCAATCACGAGTTCAGTTTTCTAAGCCTTTGAGTCTTTGTTTTATAAGTAAGTTCATTTGCATTTCTTTTTAGATTCCACATATAAGGGACGTCATATGATATTTCTCCTTCTCTGACTTCACTCAGTATGACACTCTCTAGGTCCATCCATGTTGCTGCAAATGGCCTTATTTCGTTCTTTTTAATGGCTGAGTAATTTTCCATTGTATATATCCACTGCATCTTTTTTATCCACTAAAAGGACAACTTTTTAGAAGTGGGAACTGTAACTCAGATGCCAGGCTTCTCTTTGGGCCTCTGCAGAGAACACCTGAGCAGAGTGTGGAAGAACGGCTAGAGATACTGGATCCTTTTCGATGAAAACATCTGTGCATCCAAATGAATGTTTCCATTTTATTGTGTTTGCTTTATATGAGAATGTCCTCTTTGTCCCCCTGTAGTACAAGTTTAGCCAATTAACAGTGTAATCTGTTTTTCTTTCTTTAATGTCTTCAAGACTGGCCAGTGATGTTTTCAGTTTCCAAGTCCAATAAAAAGAGGTACTGGAATTCAGAACTCAAACACGAGTTAGAAAGCAGAAAATCACCGAGATCCTTTACTTCTACTTAAAAAAAAAAAAAAGTCTTATTCATTTATTTGGCTGTGCCAAGTCTTAGTTATGGCATGTGAGATCTTAGTTCTCCAACCAGGGATCAAACACAAGGCCCCTGCATTGGAAGCCCAGAGTCTTAGCTGCTGAACCTCCAGGGAAGTTTTTTTAAACACTTCTACTTTTAAATACAATTACACTGCTGGGGAACAACACATTTGATGCATTAACTTGCAATTTTTTGTTGTGTATGATTGCCACTGCTAAAGACTTAGCTAAAAGTTGAGGAAAACTCCCCAAACTGGTAGAACCACAGCAAAAGGCCTACATGTATATATGTGCAGATATAACCCATATATATGTGCAGATATAACCCATAATCTGGAGAAAGGCTGGTACTTGGGGGAAGGGTCCTCTGTTACTTGTTTTTGCTTAGTTGTTCAGTTGTGTCTGACTCTTTGTGACCCTATGGACTGTAGCCTGCCAGGCTCCTCTGTCAGTGGAATTTCCCAGGCTGCCATTTCCTCCTCCAGGGAATCTTTCTGACCTCGGGATCAAAACCATGCCTCCTGCATTGGCAGGTGGATTCTTTACTACTGAGCTACTGGGGAAGCCCCTTTGCTGCTTGCTGTAACTTTAACAGACCAAAGGGATCCTGCTTTGAGTGCTTCTGGGAAGATGACACAAGAAACCCACTCCCTGCCAGACACTGGGGTATTAATAAGCTTTAAGGAACATGCGTGAGGGAAGGTAGGTCAATTACGCGATCTGAAGTTCACAAAGTAAAAACATACAAACGACAGGACCACCCTGTTTAGAAAATGTCCTACAATGTGCATTTATTCCATATCATTGTACAAGGTTTCCATACAGTTATAACTCTTAAGACAATGTGTTTTCTTCACCATTGTATGTGGTGCCCACATCTTTCACTTGAACATGCTGGAAATCCACATCATATGCTATCCCACAAGTTGTAACGAATTGCAAATGTGCCAATTTAGAAGAGCACGGTGGCTTACAAAGCTTCAGCTTTAGTGAATTCTGGCAGACAGGATCCACAGTCTCATCTCATTGTAAAACTCATGACAAAATAAATTAGTGTTGGACAGACTTCTGAATCGTACAATATTTAAGGAGAGACCACAGTGGGACCTTTTGTTTAAAGTAGCACCAATCCACACCCAATTGTGTTTCCAATCTGGTCCCCCCCTTCCCCAGGTTACCCTTCCTGGTCATGCATCATTGGCACTTTGAGTGGAAATCTTTCTGCTTCCTCAAGGATTCCTGGACTGACTAAGCATACTGTGTCACTAAACTCTCTACGGCGTGGCAATGTCAACTTGGGAAATGGCACATTTAAATCATTGTCACCTTGAACACGGGCTTGCCTGTGTGTGTGTGTATGTGTGTGTGTCTTCCCCACCCCCAATCTAGCTGGTATCTTGTGGATGTTTCTGTGACAGTGGTAAAAGTAAATAAAAAATGCATTAAGGGGTTTCACGGTAAGCATGGTGTTTAAAAACAAAACGAAACGCAAAAACAAAAACAACATGAAAGAATGTGGTCGCAGCTAAGGAGGTTTTCACATGTTGTTTAACTCCAGTAAAGTCTGATCCAGCATCTGGTGCATACTAAGGTTTTCTTCTTTGGCATGAGCCACTTTCTCTGTGGTGGGATTAGAAAATTAAGTCATGAATAGCTGAGCTTTGGACACAGCGGTGGTTTGTACACTTAGGCAGGCAAACATCAATCACAAACACAGGATGAGATGATTAGGACCAGGCATGCTCGTAAGACATGACTCATTTACAGACAGGGACCTACAAAGGGGAAGCTGTCTTGGACCCGGAGAAACTACAGGCACAGCAGGCTCTCACAGAGCGGCCAGGTGAATCTCCACCAGCAAACCATGGGAGCAAAATACAGGTGGGGCTGGCGGATGTTCACTGGTCATGCGCTGTGGGAACTGGGAGAGGTGCTCTCAGCACTCAAGTTATAACAACAGCAGACATTTCTGAGTTACAGGCAGTTAAGGTCTGAGAGTTGCGTTGTAACACAATCTCAGAGAGAACAAAGATGACATTACTAGGCCTTCTGACAACGTTTCAAGGATTTATTTCTGTTGCTCGTTAAAAAAAAAAAAAACACCAACATGTTTCATGCACACTCCAGTAGGACATTCTCTTATTATTCTCACAGTGTTCTATTTATTATTAGCATGACATTCTCACCAGATTCCAACAACACTGTTAAGACTAAATAAAAGCATACCTTTCAGACAATCGGGGACTTCTGACATGAACTCCTGTTTTCAAAAGCTATTTTGCCCAAGCATAGGTACATTTAATCATATTTCAAACACTATACCAGATACTTAGAAGTCAGAAATATGAATATGTCATAGGAATATATATTATATATATCACATCCTATATATAATATATATATATATATGCTGATACCCCTCTGCTGTGACTTTCTAATTTTAAACAAGACTCAGTTCTGTATAGGAAATAAAAAACATTTTTTTGGTTCTCATTATGCATCAGTCCAAATAAGGGGACCTGCTATTGCAAAGATGAGTGCTGAACTGATTATAAACATTGACCCATATACACAGATATAATTTTACCATAAAAGCGGTTTGGGGATTAAAGAGAATTATTCCAGATATTAAGAGGAAAATGCAGGCAAGGCCAACCTTTCAACTGATTCATGTTGAATTCTGCAGAATTCTGCAGAAAGCAATCATTTTCAATCCTACTATCTGAAGGTATGGCAGTCTTATACTTCCTGACACGGGCTGCATTCCTAGAATTCAGCCCAGGTTCTTCCCCACTTAAGTTTAATCCTCATTCAGGGCCAGCTTTAGTTGGTTAGTTAGGCGGCGGTTTTGCTCAAGTTGCTGGTAGAGTTGATCTGTACAGGTCAGCAAGCAGGTTAGCAGAAGAGAAGAGGCAGAAGGAAGAGAGGTTAGCTGGAGTTGGTGAGAGGGAGTAAACAGAACACAGAGATACCTCAGGTGCTGGTCAGCTGCTGAGCAGGTTCCCCTCACCCCATGAGAAGCTGTCCTGTGCCAGGGAAGGCCTGGCTGACCAGGGAAGAACCAGGACTCCTCTATTGGCAGGAGGAAAGGGAAACAAGAGGAGGAAAGGGATCCTCCTCCTCGAGGGGGCATGTTCCTTATGCATCTCACTAAAACCATCACGTGAACTGGGCCCAGTGAAGCTTCTGGCAACAGCCTCAGGAACTGGGGCAGGGCTGGAGGTGAGCCTAGTACGCCATCCACTCCTTGTAGAGCTCAGTGACTGAGAGCTTCCTGCAAAACCTTAACCTACCGTTTCTGCTCATCCCTTCCTGGAACCCTTTCATCTCCACTCCTAGGGCTGGCTTTCCTCTCAGGTGGCCCCTAGAGGGGCCACTGCCACTGTATTAACAGTTTTGGAAATGCAGAACTAAGCCCCATGTCTCTACCATTGTCACTATGTTACATAGTGTAAACTCTCATCCAGCTTAGAGATAGGGTGTGTTACTCTACACAAACAGCAAAAGAATAAGCACTTACTCCACTCAAAACTGATTTAACTGCTGACTTTCTAAAAAGGATGGCATTCTCTGGTGCTAAATAGACATGTATAAAATCCCAAACGTCCACATGGAGACTGGTGTGAAGTACATTTTGCACAAGGGCATGTAATCTTCTCACTTGGCAAAGAAGGCAGCTGCTAGTCAGCTTTTATCTGATGGGGATACCAGGGGATGCCCAAACAAGGATAAGAAACTGGCTCTTATCACAGAAAGCTGGAGGTTACAGAACTGTCTTGCATGCCAGTGACAACCTAAACCCACAATCTCTAACTTAATGATCCTGAAGAGCTGACAATCCTACACCTGGGGAGAATAAAAATGTTCAGTTTCTAGTTCCCAGGTCTGTTGGGAAATCAATTAATTCTCATTTTAATATTCTCTCATGTATAAAGAATCTGCCTACAATGCAGAACTGGGTTTGATCCCTGGGTAAGGAAGATCCCCTGGAGTAGGAAATGGCAACCCACTCGTGTTCTTGCCTGGAGAATTCCATGGGCAGAGGAGCTGGGAAGGCTACAGTCCGCGGTCACAAAGAGTCGGACACAACTAGACGGCTAACACTTTCACTTTCACATATGGTAGGAGATGAGGAATACCTTATATTCATTGTGTTTTTTTAGCTTGGAATATCTCCACCTTGTCTTCTTTGCTGATCCAAATGTTCTGAATATGCAAAACCCCAGTCAAATGTCATCTTCTCCAGGTAGCTCCCAGTCAGAATTACTGTCTCTATTCCTCATGGACTCTAAATGTACACCATCTGCTTCACAGGTCAGACCTGCTTCACTCATCTATCTTCCCACAAGATGGCCAGCTCACTGAGAACAAAGAACATTTCCAGTTCATGTCCTGACCACATCCTCCCTACCCTTCACGATGTCCTGCATGCTTGTGGGTTGCAAAATTTAACCCCACTAGCAGCACATTCACTCTCTCACGTGCGAGACATCACCATGGGCATGTAGATGTCTTAGCTTCCTGAACCAATGTACAGTCAAGCTGGGATGAAAGAACTCTGCAGAAACCCCAGAGAACCCAGAGGGTCGATGTGAATGCAGTTTAAATGACAGTATCCTTACAACGTCCTCATTTGGACGTGCTCTACTTTGGCTGCCATAGAACTGGCATGCTTGGGGGGCCTGGGAGTATTATATGTTTGAAAATATTTTTCCCTCCTGTTCTACCTCCTCAATATCTGGGGCATCAACTGCCAAGCAATGTTTTTGGGGTTTGGTCCAACCAAGGCTATTGCAGCCGCCGCCTCTATGATGGCATGATCCGCTGAGCTAGAAGCCTGGGCCCCAACAATTTCTTGATAAAATCAACTAGCTATTTATCCTCTTGTGTGCCCATACCTTCTTGGGCTGTTTCAGATTTTTTTTTTTTAATTTGGCTAAACCCTGTGGCGTGTGTGATATTAGTTTCCCGACCAGGGACTGAACCTGGGCTCCCTGCACCGGAAGACAGAGTCCTAATCACTGGACTGCCAGGGAAGTCCTTGGGCTATTCCAGATTTGCCTTTGCAGTCCATCAGTTTCCCATTCCTCCCTGTAGAATATACCTAGAGAAAGTGTGAGAGTCTTTGGAATGGTTCCCCCAAAACTGGTGTGCCTCCAGAATTAACTAAACATCTGCTCAGCACAACTTTCAGACTTGTCATTTCTTTCTATGGCAGGAAGCAGGGTTACTCAGAGAAGGGCCCACTTTTATTACTCTGAATTTTAAAAGAACAAAGTAGGAATCATAGTCAAAAGCAGGCCCAAGGAGCCTTAGGAAAAGAAAAGTAAGAAATTACAGGGAGAGAGACTGTCTAGATTACAAATTTTAAAAAGTCTGTTATACTACTACTAAATTCACAGCGCTCTTAAAGAGAGTACTTTTACTCTGTTCTGAAGTCTTTGTAGAGTGACTGACATTTTCAGTTTGCTCAAATTTATTAGAACATAGGGATATATAAGTACTTAGGCTCAGAAAAACTATACATAGATAACAATCACTCACATTTAAAACACAGGAGAAATATAGCCAGATTGTTGAGGATGAGAAGTGTTGGGCATTGAGAGAGAAAACTCCACATCATTTTAAAGTTCTAATTTTGTGATGTGTTTTTTAAAAAATCACTTACATGCTATTCTTTAATTTATAAATATAACCAATAAAATAAACTATAACTGAACAATTTCTATTATTTTTAGGGGGTAAAAAAAAGAACCAACTTTAATAGCTATGCTTTAAAAATATTCACAAATAAAAAAAAGTTATCACAAAGATTATGTAAGTATAATCCCTCCTAAGAATACATGATGTGCTTAAGAGCAAAAAAATAAATCTTGACTTGAACATACTCATATGTTCGTAAAACCTAAGTATGTCATTTCATGATCAAAATGAAGGTGGCTGAGGAATGAATACACTTTGTGCTGTAAAAGGATGATCAATAATGATCTCAACTTACATTGTTTTTGTATCCACATCCTGTTCATCTTTTCGGATATGTGTGGGCTGGCAGCCTTTCCTTAGCTAGCTCCCCACTCTCAAGCAGGACCATCTAAATACCAACACAGCAGGCTCACCACATCCCAAACTCAACATCTGCACATGAAGGCCCTGCTCAAGGCAGACCTTCTGGCTTCAACAAGCAAAATCCCCTGTGTGAAGGTTCTCAACCCATTTCACACACCAGTACCATCCCAATCCCTAAAAAGCATAGCTGCCTGGCCCTAACTCTAACCTTTGCAAACCAAAACCCAGAGAATGACCCAGGCATGTGTATTTTGAAAAAGTTCCACAAGGAACTACTGCTTTAGAGACTGTTGATATTAATGAATGATGTTCAGAATAGAAAAAAAAAAAAAAAAGCAAAGCAGCAGCCAAAAATTAACCCTCCTGTGTGTGAAGCAGATTTGTGGTTTTATTCAGCATTGAAACTAAAATATCAATAAATAAGAAGTAAAAAGAATAGCAAACAGAAACAGCTTACATAGTGTTTATTTTACACTGAAAGGAGGAGCTTCTGTACAAGAGGAAGCACAGTGTGTACCTGGCCCTAAGGCAGGATGTGAAAAGAATGAATCAGGGTCAACTGGAGAACAGACAAACTGCAGAGCTCAGAGAGGTGGGACATCCAGCTCGACGAAGGGGTCTTGGGAGAAGTGAAGCAAAGATACTTATCTGCATGAAGAGAAAAGGTGGGAGAAACAGGAAAAAAAAAAGTGGCACAATGGAAAACGGAAGCCAAACGAACAGATGAGAGCAGCTCTCGAAACAAAGGTGAGAAGCAGACATGCAAAACCTGCGGGAGGATGTAAATCCTTGCCCACCAGGGTCTGGGCCCCAGGCCAGCACCAGCCTCTTCTGTGGGAGGGATCATGGTAAGAAGACCCGTGAGCAGAACTCAGAAACAGATTTTAAGCTAAGCCCACCTTTCAGAGTACATAACCAAACATGATGCTGCAAGTTTTCCTCATAGAATCATCACATTTTAGCAATCAGAGACAGATGATCTGATCTACCCCCTCATTTATAAATGAGCAGAGAAAGGATGGAATTTTCTTCAGTTTCCATGGTAACAGTCATGTCTCCAAGGGTAGCATGATGATTCTATAATGTGTAGGGCAGCAGACACATGCCAACACTCTTTAGGCTACCATTTTTCTGCATGGGTATACGAATGACAGGTGGGCCTGGAAAGTGAAATTCCCAGCTTACGTGGAATTCAGTGCCATCTTGTTGAGATTAAAAGGCAGCCTCTGTGAAACACTCCAAGTTAGAATTTAGTGGGGCAGAACCGGTTCAATGTTCAGGCTTGGTTAGTAATATGAAAGTTAGTTGTGTATGCTCCAGGTTCTCATGAGATTAAGACTATCTACTCCACCCTTACTGACCAGCAGTAGTAAAAGCTGGGCCATTAACCCTCAAACTCATATCACACAATCTGTGCTTTATGTCCCATTTCTTTGACACAGGTTGTGGTGTTTGTATATTACTTTTTATATAAACAGAAAATTAAACCCCTCCTAAAGAATACATGATGTGCTTAAGAGCACACAACCTATGCTTTATGTCCCATTTCTTTGACATAGGTTGTGGTGTTTGTATGTTAATTCTTTTTATATAAACAGAAAATTAAAGGCTTGGATACTCAGCAGAAGGCTCATTTTTGTCTAAAATTCTTAAAAGAAAGATGTGATGTTTTACAGCAACATCCTTTATACTGTTCCAGATCAATTTCCCTCCTCTCAGAGCCTCAGTCATCTGAGGGTGAAGGGTTCCTTAAATTTGTATTTTTTTAATAAAAAATGTTCACGTTATATTTAATTGAATCACAGGAAACTGACTTTTGCTATTTCTTGGGCAATTCTTGCACAACTGCATGGCCTATTGATTTTACTTGAGCCTAGTTTACATTTCTAAAAGTATAGGGCCCGAGTCACTTCTATGCCAGCTCACTGCATGGTGGGAACGATCTAGCTGAGACAATGTGAAATGAATGGATTCTGAGACAATGTGAAATGAATGGATTTTGAGAGGAAGACGGTTTGTATAGACAATCTACTTGGCCTGTATACTAGTAGAATGTGAAAAAAAACAAAAACAATGACTATCCTAGATTGTGCAAAGAGAGTGAGGAGAAACGTGTAAAGGTGGAGATTCTGGAGCTACAAGAGGGAGTGGTGGCGAACTGCTCATATTAGCATGAGGGCACGGATGTGAGCAGGCAGGGTGGGTGAACATTTACATGGAAGTCATGTCGTTGAGAGCGTGGTCCAGCTCCTCGCTGATGGCTTTGTACTTCAGTTTCTGAGCGTACAGCTCGTCTATGACCAGGAAGTGGAAGGCAGAGGTGCAAGGACATGGAGAGTGATCAAGAGATGGAAGGTGAATGAGGGTGGCAGGGGCACCATCCCGACACAGCAGCAAGAAAAGGGCAATGCATGAAGGAAGTGATGCCGCAGCAGGTGGCCAATGCAGGAGACGTGCGTTTTGTTTTGTTTTTTTAATAAAATTGAAACAAAAACAGAAAGAACAAAACCCATTAGAAAATAAAAATAAGAAACTCAATATGAAAATTGTAACAAATATGGTAGTAAACCATGTTAAAACCCTAAACAAAACCACAGAAGGCTGTCTCCTGGTTGGGGGAGGAGCAACAGGACAGCTTTTCTTTTATAGAGCTATAATTTAACTACACTGGAGTAGTCAGCCACCTGCAACTATAAACAGTGGAAAAAACAGCCACGGGCATTGTTTTGGAGGAACAATTTGTGACTACAGTCTGTAATCCTTATCTGGCTCCACCTTCAAACCACTGACTTCCTGACCAAGCTAGACCACTGGGAAATGGATTTCTTGGTGCTATCCAGACTATTCCTTGTGGCCTTCCCACTTAAGCTTCCTTCACTGGTCCAGGAGGCTTGGAAAACGAGGAGAGCCACGCTCCTCACAGCGTTGCTGTGCCAAGTTTGTATTTCGGCTTTTCTAACGATGGTGTCACACCTTGCTGCACTTTGGAGCCTGTTTTGCCACCACGTGTCATTTTCTCTTTTCCACCAGCGTGGTTATCATCTGAACCAACACCCAATCCCTTCTCTAGCCCCCCCTTCACCTTTGATGTATATATTTCACATATTTTTTTCTTTCTTTTTTCACAGACTTGGAGCTCAACATTTGGAATTTCTGAGAGACGGAGAGGGTGTTACCAAAATAAAACCTAAACATCAGCGAAGAAATGCTTACGTATAATGTCCAAGTGCAATAATGCCCTGTTACCCTCCACCCCCCATTTCAGGGCACAGAGCATATGCCAAGATGATTAGTAACGTAGAAAAATAAATTCAAACCCTTATATTGAATTCACACTTGGGGAAAGATTAAGTTGTGCCTAAAAACCAAATCCTTACCATTCTGACAATAAGAAGGTATCACTGAAGACAGAAAACACACCAGTAATTCTCACCTACAACCGCCTCACTCACAGTGAAAGATAAACCAGCCACACTTCTAAGAGTGTGCGGGTGGAGCCACTTGGCATCTGCTGTTACAAAAAGAAGACGGGCCCCGTCTGGTGGCTAGCAGTCATCCGGTGAGCAGAGAGCTTAAGAGCCACAGAACTCCAAAGGGCAGACCAGAAAAATGTGCAAGCACAAAGGAGTGTGTCAAGGAGGATGCCATGACTGGAAAGTCACTTTGCCACGTCGGTATTCAGCCATAAGGGCTAAGTTAGAAACAAGACTTAAGATCTTACCTTCCAAGTCATCAATGCTTTTCTCCAATTTAGTTACTGACCTCTCCGCAAACTCAGCCCGAGTCTCAGCCTGCAATAATTCAATTTATTTCAATCAAAATTGGGAAGTTTTAGGTGGCCGGTAGCTACAAAGATAGGGAAACTGAAAGTCAAGCCTGGCACCCACAAAGTGGTCTGAAACCACCCACTAGTGAATCACCAGGGTGAGAGGCAGCTGGCTACCACTGCGGCTCTCCAAGCCCACCCTGGAATACCCCTGGATCATTGTAACATTAAAATGAAAAATGGCTCCAGAGAGACAAACTCAATCCAGTTGGCTTTGTTTAAAACACCCCTAATATTACCTCCTTCAGCTTGTCAGAAAGGACCTTGATCTCTTCCTCGTATTTGTCTTCTTTCTGCGAGTACTGTAATCAGAAAGAACGTTCCAGATGTCAAGCCACCGCTCACCCTATACTTGTGTCTTCTAATACAAAGAAAGTGCCAGCCCAGCCAACAGATGTTGAGCATCTCTCGGGAGGTAATGGAGCCTCTGGGATCAAATGGCACACCACAATGCAGTCTCTGCTTTCCTGCCTATTGCTTTACAAGGGATAAGAACAAGATCACTTATCCATTTGGCGCTTGGTTTAAATTAAATTGTTATGGATGACTCACATACTCAACACAAAATGGATTTTCCATTGAATAAAAAAAAAAAACAAAAAAACAAATCTGGTATCAATAACCATCAGGAAATCGCCTCAAAATGAGGCCTCTGGCTAAAGTGTCTAATGGACTATCCCTCTGACTGGCAGGGCCTCAGAAGGGAAAAAGGGGGTGTCTCTGGAGTAGCTCTTAAATGATGCCTCTCCCCCACACGGTGCTCCTGGCCTACCTTCTCAGCCTGAGCCTCCAGTGATTTCAAGTTGTTCGTCACAGTTTTCAACTCTTCTTCAAGCTCGGCACATTTGCTAATGTTTTCGATCAGAGGTAGAAAGGGTGGGAGACAGGCCAGAGGAAGGAGGAGAGAAAAAGGAGAGGGATGGGAAAAAAATGAAAACCAAGTCCTAGAGAACAAAGGGCTGCCTTAAAGAAGCCAAACCATCAGGGGCTGAGATGTCCAATTTCACCGTGGACACTGCCCCAGACCTTCCTTCCAACAGCAGAGAGGTGGACAGACAAAATTCAACAGCTTCAAAGTGTGATGATTTGGCTTCTTTTTTGGCTGCACCAAAGAGCATTTATGAAGGAAAAACAAAAGAGTATAAAGGACCCAAGGAAAGCACTTAAAGCAAGATATAAGATAGCAGAGGGTGTAGTGAAGGTGCAGTCGTTATAAAAACGGACCAGCAGGCATTGGAAGCTGAAAGATGCCTGGGTTGCAGTTAAACCTAAAACCCATACGTGAGCCATCAGTACCTTATCCTCTGCAGCCATTAATGCTTTCAAGGTCTGATCCATTATTCTTAATTGTTCTTCCAGCTGTCGAACTTGGCTGTTAGTGGACACAGGAAATGCACAAGGCCATTCTCAAAATCAGTGTGCAGGTAAGGCATGCAGTGACACACGCATTCATACACAGACACCCCACACAAGTCCTCCATGTTCCAAACTCGTGGCTCATCCACGTCGAATGAGCACATGAGGAGCCCGGAGCTGAAACGGGTGAATGTGCAGCTGCCAGAAGGTCATGCTGTTTAGTCACTGCTCCGCAGCACCCCACACAGGGCCTCCTGGCGCCGGGCCCGCTTACCCTTCTGAGAGCTCAGCCCGCTCCTCTGCACGCTCCAGGTCACTCTCAATGATGACCAGCTTACGGGCCACCTGCAGCAGGACACACACAAAACACATACACCATGGGGCTTCCAAGCTCTGAGTATGGTGTGTGTAGGGGGTAGAGGGGAGGGCAGGAGCCAGACTCAGCCCCTGGGAGTTCTTGCCTACAGATAAGATGATCCTCTCTCCAGTGGACTGGAGGGGAAGCAACTCTCCACCAGGAATGCCCATGGAGAGGAGACCATCTGCTCACAAAGATTCAGAATGGTCAGTTATGAGTAGGCAGGCACATTTGAAGTCTGACCCAAGTAAAGCCTGTATAATTACACAGCAGCCAGACCAACTGTGGAAAGAGGGGGAGAGATGAAATTCACCATCTCTGAAATAGCAGGATGATGAGACACGATGCCTTTTATGCTGAAAAGGTGGGAGCTGCAAGGCAAGACTGAAAATAACCCTAAAAGAACTTCATCAATTTAGAGCTCTGTACCTCCACTTCCTTTTGGTGGAGGAGGTTAAAAATGCCAACAGAAATAGCAAGAAATGCTAACACGAGAAGTTGGTAAGATGACTAATGAGGTCGAAGGAAGAAAGGACCAGGAGGAAGGGATCCTATGAAGCATTTCAAAATTAGTGAGCATAGCGTAACCTGGAGAGGATGATGATGATGAAGAGTTGGTGTTTCAGGAGAGCTAAAGGGAAAAACTAAAACCTTAAAGAGTCATGTGGGCTCTTAACACAGGAGGGTGCTTTCATGGGGACATGACCAGGAGGTGATTCACCTGTGAGTCGTGAGGAGAGAGGACAGACTGAGAGGTGCCTCCATGAATCCAGAGAGCAAATGTGTGGTCTGTGTCTCTACACCGCCTAAACTGGGTTGCACCAGGCAGATCTCATGAGGGGTAACCGCCTGCGTGGTCAGAGCATGAGAGCCTCCTTTCACAAAACACAAGCGACCCAACCTTCCCTGCTATCTGGCCAAAGACCTTCTGTCCTAGTCTTTGAGGGCGGGGGATAACAAAAGCCCTGGTCTTTCCCAGTGCGAATGACTCCCTAGTAGGATCAAAACTAAGAACCATCTTCTGGGGACAAAGAACTCTCCTTCTCAAACACACCCATTTCTGCTAAGGAAACAGATGGTTTCATTGCTCCCCCAGTCCCTGCTTCTGGGCCATTGCTGGGGACCCATGAGGCCTTAAGGTCCAGGATCTGACCTCTTCATACTTGCGGTCGGCATCCTCAGCAATGTGCTTGGCCTCTTTCAGCTGGATCTCCTGAATCTCCATTTTCTCCTCATCCTTTTGGGCTCGGCTCTCAATGACTTTCATGCCTCTGAAAAGGAAGATTGGCAGGAAAAGCCAAGATTTAGAGGTGCCTTCCATGAACTCCCATTGCACAGCCATGGTTTGTGAGATTCAGTGTGACTGACAGACTGAAACATAGCTACTTTCATCTTCCAAGCCATGAAGTGAAACTTTCCAGAGCTGAAAGCAGGAAAAGACATCCATTTCCCTCTCCCTGTTTATTGTGAAGGAAAGCTTACACTTTTGGTACTGCTGACACTGTCCAGGCAGCTCATGTTAAATGAAAGGCACCATGACATGGTCCTTTTTTTTTTTGAATCTGGAAGAGGTGGAATCAGAAAAGCCAACATGCTTTACTTGCTGTATAAATAATGGGATTTCTTCCCTTTTCCAGTGGGAAGCCTCAGCCTGAAAATGGACCAAGGTTAGAACAAAAACAAATTTAGCTTTGTGTACTTTCTTTCCACAAAGAAAGCAGCTGTTCTTACCCCTTTAGCCACAAATGTAACTGTTAGATTGAACCAAACGAAACTGCTGATATTTGACCAAATCCGACCTATAAAAATGGCAATTTCATGTGGGACAACTTTGGAGAAGAAACTGAGTTTTGCCTATAATGACGCTTTTTATATTAGAGGGGTTGAGAGCCAAGACCAACACCATCTTCTGTGTTGATGTGTATGTGTGAATCCTTCAGAGTGGCGTAAGCTATGGAAACTGTTAACTGACCTATGATATACTGCAGATTTATGCAATAAAGTTATGTTAAAATGCGATTCATTTATCAAAATCTAAGTAAGATAAATCAATTAAAAAAATAAAGACTACAATGCCATTGCAATACAGAATGCTCAGAGAAACTGAATTTTTCAACTCTGAAGGTCTGAACTTTACTGCTGGCCACTGCTGGGTTAGTCTGGTATTTCAAAGGAATATTGGGTGCTGCAAATAGGAACTGAAGGGGTAAACTTATCAAACCCATTAAATCTATTAAAAAAAAGTAAAGACTACAATATATCTTAGGAGACTGGAATCCTGCCTTGGCCATATATTTGGTTCAGGCAGGCCACACCTGTCTCTGAACCCTAGTTTTCTCATTGGTAAAATCAGAGGACTGGAGTAAGTGATTTCTAAAATACTTTTTTACTATAAAGTTGAACATTGCCAGATTGCCTTTCAGGTTCACTAACAAGTGTATTTCAGGAAGAAACCAGCCACGAAATCACTGGTTATGTGTATATCATAAGAGATGGTAAGTCATCTTTAAAAATTCCCAAACTCTTAGTTAGAAGAGAGACAAGAGGCAATGGTGAATAACGAGCTGAAAAACTTCAGCTAACAAGACTTTTTAATCCTAAAGTCTGAAATCACTTTTCCCATGGTGGCAGGGAGCAGAAATGCACCTCAAAAATGGAGAAAGGGACAAAATGAGTGACTGCATGTATCTGCCAAGTCACAGCACAGATACGCACTGCCCCTGTCTGAGACACTATACTGCTTCCTCATCTCTCTAAGGACAGAACTCTCTCCAGTCTTAAGGAGTCTTTCTTGGAGTGCTTCCAAGCAACAGGAGTACATTAACTTGAGCAGCTGAGCATGAGAGAAAATGCCTGCTGGAATAACATGATGGCTGATATGGCCCTGGTCTTCCTTTACTACCACAAGGCTGGATCTTGCGGTCGTAAGTCAGGGAGAGCCAGGTCACGGGGTGAGTAGGCTCAGAGGACATGCAGATCTGACTGTATTTACTTGTGCACGCACGTCTTACCGGCTTTACTAAGTCCAACACAACTTACTTTTGTGGATTATATTTCTGTTTTATCTGTTCTTTCTCTTTCACTCATTTGTTGGGCTATTCGACAACTGACAGCCCATACTTTATTTACCTCGGCCTAAGCCTTCTGGGTGTATTTTAACATAAAGTTATCTTTTAAACAAAATGCAGAATTGCTCCATGGTCAGCAGGAATGAAAGAACCAAATTACATCCCTAGAACCCCCCGTTTAAACCCATCTCCCTCGTTGGGTGGTGAGCTCTAGGAGGGCAGGAACAGTCTTTTTTTTCTTTGCAACCTTGAGATTTAAAATAAAAGTGTTTCATTAGTGTTAAACAAATAAAACCAGTAGTTACACCTGGATCAAGTGAGGAAATGATGGCACCAAGGTACTGTGAAATCCTCAGACACCCAAGATCAGAGAGCCCTCTGGTTCCATCAGGAGGAAAGGCTGTGCTAACAGGTGGGCTGGACGACGGGGCCTCACCTCTCACTCTCATCTGCTGCCTTCTCGGCCTCCTCTAGCTTCTGTAGAGCTGTTGCCAGACGCTCCTGGGCACGATCCAACTCTTCCTCAACCAGCTGGATGCGCCTGTTCAGAGAAGCTACGTCGGCTTCAGCCTGGGCAAAGAGAATGAGAGATGTTTTAGTGCTGGAGAGAACGTGAAGGTAGTGCATTCAAGATGGGCTGGACTGAAACGCTGGTTCAACAAGGAAGCCTGGCTTTGTGGTGAGCTTCCCTAAAGTGTGCCACAAGCCGTGGTCAACTCTGGGGTTGCTGGATATGTTCATCCATTGATTTAGCCAGTGGGTGTCCACCCTGGGGTATATGCAAATCCACACGCATCATCCTCGTGGGACAGAGGGACTGTCAGCAACACTTTCTCTTTTGGTTCCTTTCTAACACGGATTTCAACATGCTGGCTTTACCCGACTCAGAGGGGAGCGCCATCACAGCCACCTTACGTGGTGCGGGCCGAGGTGTGGAGAGAAGCGACGGGACTGACCCAGGCTCCCTCACACACGATGAGGGGAGCTCAGCGAGAACTTGGGGCTCAGGAGTCTCAATTCTCCTTTCTTCTGATCACATTCTCAAAGGGGCGTTATTAAATATTTTAGGAACTAAAAGATTTTTAAGTTCAGTGGTTCTAAAATATAAAACCATACAGAGACACAACAAAACCCAGTAAGCCCCCACGCCCTTCGGCACCTCTTGAGGATAACAGGTCACACTGGAATAGCGCCAAAACAAATTTCCCAAGCGTCTGTGACCTAAGCCTACAGGCATTTCTCGCAAGTCAGGGTTGCTACAAGAAGAGTTTCAAGCTCCTTAGAAGAAAAGCAGTACAGATACTATTTTTACTTGGTATCTATCTCTGAAATATGCTCCTTTTTTGAGGATGTGATGTTTACCTATAGTTAAAAGCATCTGTTACTATGAGCCTCAGGACACTTGCAAGACTGGCTGGGTCCATTACATACACTTGCATTGGTGGCTATTTAATTATGCATGGAAGTGAAAGATGGAATTTGCTAATCTGGCAGCGTTTCCTCATCTACTTTGAATGTGTGCTTATCCTGCAATGATGGGGTTTTCAGGACACTTGGGAGTTTTCTGAAAATTACAACCTGCACTTAGGGATGATGCTAGCTCTCTACCTACAGTGCTATATTCCTTACTCACATTCCTTCTTATGTGCAAGGTATCATGATTCTCTATACGGAGTATGGGCTCAATAAATGTCTACTGAACAAAATAAGCAAATCCAACTTACACAAAAGCAACGTTCTGAGTTTTGGACCCATGGTACATGGGCTTGACATGTACAAGTAGTGAGAGTCTTCGATCACAGTCTTGAACTAAAAGGAACACGAGAACACTCTGCTCTCTGCTCATCTAGATTTGTAAAATTTTAAAAGCCAAGTTCTCTCTGGTAAAGAGAGGTGATGAGGGCATCTCCAACCACGGTGAAGGACTCTATAAAAACATTCAAATACACTTTTATCTCGTCAAAAATTAACTATGTAGTAACAACTGGCTGACAGAGGCAGGGAGTAGGGGTAAATGTGAAATGAATCCAAGGTCAGTTTACAACTGTACCCACCCACAAAGTCAATCATTACAGATGCACAGTGAGTAATGGGCCCCACCAGGTCTCAATGGCCAGTGAACGTTGGTTTTTTGGGGGGAGTGGGGGAGGGATGAGGGTAATATGGATAACACATTTCTTAAGTACGGGAACTTTTAAAAGTTTTTAGCCCTGAATTAAAAAACAAAAACAAAAAACTGGAAGAAGGTATACATTAAGGGCATATCTTTGGGTCAAGTCAGATTTCTGTATTTTCCAGTTCCAGGAAAATTCTATTCCTTCCCCCCCACCCCAACATTATAATATTTATTTAAAGCAATACATTTACAGCCCAAACAGTTCTACATTGTACATTTCAGGTTTAACCAACTTCATAAAAATACTTAAGAATAGCTGTATCCACAGATTTAGACTACTAAATTATTTCTTTGCCCATTTCTCTCTCTCTTTTCTTTCCTGAATAACCTCTTTCAGATATCGTTCAAGGTAGAATTTATCTGCCTCATATTTTGTCCACTGCTCTTTAGGCAGGATCTGCTGCCTCATGCTCAGGTCCAGCACTCTCTTAATGCGAAACACTCCGTTATTATAAAGGTTCTCAGGAAGCCTTCTTATGGCTCTTTCACATCGTCATTCTCATATATTGTATCATCTGGCATTAAGCCCAGTTTATTGAATCCAGCAGCCTTGTATAACCATTTTTGAATACCCTCCAGCTCCACCTGCTTGATGCTGAAATGGCTGGCCTGCTCGCCATGTTGACCTGAGATAGAAGGAAAATTCTATTCCTTTTATGAACTGGGTGAGAGGACAAGCAAGCAACTCTGAAAGCTGAAAACTAAAATGAAGAGCAAAACAAACCCACCCCCTAAAATACCACCAAGAAAAAAACTCAGTAGAGTGCCTAGGTCATGTACTCAAAAGTATTTTCTCCCTCTTTCTTAAATATGTTTATTATAGGTGCTGTGGCCAGAGAAATGTCAACAAGATTTTCAAAACAATTTCTGTAGCCACCACACTAGAAGTTTCCAGCTCTGTTTTCAATCTGGGCCCTGACCTCAAGGACTTTGTACTCACAGAAAGGAGACTGTTTATGCTCCAGGGAAAGGACCTTTCAGGTGACAGGCCACTCTAGGTCCCCAGGCTCCCATGTACCTGGGGAGTCAGAGACAGCACTCCATGTTCATTCCTGCCTCTGCACAAAAGATCTCCGTCTCAGAGAGGACCCCCATTGATCCAAGTCTTTGCTCTTCTAGCCTCCACTCTGCTCTCTCTGTAGCTCTGGATGCTGTTTTATAAATGGAACTTCTTTCCCCGTTGAAGCGTTTTATAGAATCTACATTAGGGGTTGTGTCCTGTAGCAATACCAGTCAACAGTCCCCATAAAGGGCACCCAAACAACGGCCAGGAATGGAGACCAGTTCCAGGAGCCAGGACTGGGTCAACCCAGAGAACAGACCTGTGAGTGATTCACAAAAACAGGGTCTCAGATGTTCAACTCAAAGGGTCCCTAGTTCCCACAACTGGCTGTCTGAGTTCACCTGAAGACACATGTTAAAACTACACATTTCCAGGCCCCATCCCTAGAGATTTTGATCCAAGAGGTCGAGAGAGGAAGGTGGGAATCTGCACTATAAAAAAGCAACCATCCACCACCCCATCCAAAGATGCTGGCAAAGCCTACAGCAACCACTTTTGGAGCTCTTTGTTGAGAAACTAGGAAGAGGCAGGGACCTCTGACCCTGAGGGTTGAAGCATGCTTGGGTCACACAGCCATCAGTGGGAGGCAGGACGAGCATCCTAGTTCCCTGCTCCTCCTGTACGGGCTCACCTGTCTCACTTCTCAAGGCCTCCTGGAGCCTCGGGAAGCCCTGGATGTTGGTTCTCACCTGTGGGGTCTTTCCACCTTCTGACATCAGCGCAGCAGGTTCTCTGCAGTCACACCCAATTCAAGCCCCTGACTGAAAGAAAAGCCTTCGGGACAAAACCTATCCAGGACTAGAACTGTACTCATTATCATCTGCTGAGCAAGTCCTCTCAAAGGTTTTTGAAAAAAGGCGTGGTAAAAAATTAAAAAACATCATCAAGTAACACCAGGGGGGGAACAGCTCACACAAGGACATGGAGCATTTGCTCTCAACCCCAGAAGCCAACACCTGCTGCTCCGGGAGCTTTCACAGCAAGATGGGCAAAGGTGCTTGCAGGTTATGACCTGGATTTGAAAGCAGTATCTGGGGAGTATGTATCCCTACAAAAGCTTCCCCAGGGAAAAATCTGGACTCTTACAGGCTTCTCAGGCCTTACAATACTGGTCTGATCACAATTTAATTTGGCTCCCTAGAACAGAAGATACATTCTGTTTCATCAATTAAGGGCACTCTTCACTTTTTTTTTTTTTTTTGGATTATGATGTGTTCAAAAGGCCCACGTCTCTCACCTTCACTAGCTTTTATTTCTGGTATGCATTCTCTGAATTCTGAGGCTTCTTCAGGTATTTTCTAAGGTTGTTTTCATCACAATACCTGGGCAGTCTACTTAAGACTTCATTGGCTGTTGCCTCAGTACAAACCTCACAGTCACCGGACCATTTGTTATTTAAAAAGCAGATATAAACAACAAGGTGTTTGGGAAGGGTCACGACCCCAGACACAAATTATTTCCAGGCATGAAAATCACCCTCAGTGTCCTAGGTTACCTTCTAACAACAGCCCACGTGTTGACACTGCTGGAAAAGTCTTTGTTTGGGATGTTAGTTTCTTTTATTTCAAAAATGCTATTGTGTCTCAACATGTTATGAGCTACTCAGAAAAGAGACTGCTACATTAGTAAAGGCTACCAACTGTCATCCTAGAGAATTGTTGTTAAGCAGCCACCAGGTGCCCTGCATGTGTGAGGTGCCTTGGAGCTGTATGTGCCTTGCCCCATCCCCTTCCACAAGGCGTGTGCTCGCTGCTCAGTCATGTTCGATCTTTGCGACCCCATGGGCTATAGCGTGTCAGACTCCTCTGTCCATGGGATTCTCCAAGCAAGAATACTGGAGTGGGTTGCCATTTCCTGCTCCAGGGAATCTTCTCGACCCAGAGATCAAACCCAACCCTTTTTGTCTCCTGTGTTGGCAGGTGCATCCTTCACCACTGAGCCACCTGGGAAGCCCTCTTCCACAAGGTACCAGCTACCTATACACAAAATAAGGGCAGGTGTACACCATTCCTATGCACCTCTACAAGATGCCACAAAGCCATCAAAGGCACGGCCACACAATACAGCAAAATATTTCTCCGAGTCAGATCTGAAAGAAAACTTTCACAGGGCCTAGATTTTCACAAAATCCAGATGTTACAGTCAATATACCTAGAGACAATTTAAAAATAGCAATGATTTTTACTTTAAAAACAAGTATTCCTGTTAAGACTGTTAAGAAGAAATAACGGTAGGAGAATAATATATTCTAAGAACAAATCCTCTAGAATATATTTTCCACGTCCTCCTGAACTGGAGTGCAGCATGGGATGATCACAGGTCAGGTCTTTTTATTTCATGCAAACTGTAGTTGTCCAGAGAAGGTTTCACCCTTTACTGTGTAACACCAAGCCACTAAAGCCAAGTTAAACTTCTGCCCTTATATGGTAAGGAAAGTAGAAAAAAAACATAGATGACATTAAGAGGCACTCCCATGGATAAGAGATAAAAACAACCTCTCTATCTGCACCAAAGCCTATAATTCGTGAGGCATATTTGTACAATGAGCAAGAAGGGATGTGAACAGGGCATTGTAGTGCCTTAGCCTTGTCTATATATGAAAGCAGAAAGCCAGAGAGTACACTCCTGTTATTGACACCCTGGGGGGCCCAATGTGAGCACAAAATACTTTTAGAATCCTGGTCTCAGAAATATTTACCAATTCTAAAGAGGGAAAAGGCTAGGACTTTTGTAAGTTGGTTTTTCCTATGAGTTAATAAAGTTACCAATTAAGAACCTACAGGTTGCAACTCTAAGTCCCTTTGCTTGCTGGGTACCATCCAGAAAGGAGAAAGGAGGACTGGCTTCTTCTCACTCCCTCTTTTCCTTTGATAAGGACAAAAGACAAACAAAACCCCAGTGGGTCACAAGACCTAGAGTCAACCATTACATCCAGCAAAGTAGCTGCATTCCAACATTTTGAAGGGCCCACACACCTTGGGAAAAACAAACCAGTAGAAAAAGAGAGATGACTGCTTTTTCCAAGCTAAGTGCTGGTGTAACAGGGCCAATTAACTAACTACAGCCTGTCTGAACCTTTGAGACTCTGAATGTAGAGCCAAGTCTCCATAATTTTTTTTGCAGTGGCTCACGACTTTGTCACTAAACTTTTATCTCTGCTGCCAAGAAAAACTGTGACTGCTAGCTTAACTCACAGCTATGTCTGACAACTACCAAGAAACCACCTTAAATTAGCGATGTTCAAGTTTCAGTTTTGTAAGTTAGGAACACCTCTCAATCTGAAATTCTCTCTTCAGTGGTCTGACCCAGTCCTTAAGTTGTTGTCATAAAAAAAGCTCTGTGTCCGTCTGTCCAATCTTCCAGACAGACGATTTTCAAAAATCACTTAAAAAATTGAAGCTATTTAAACCACTTTTTAATATAAAGCTTTGAAAAGAAGAAAGCACTACCTTTAGCCAACTGGCCCAGGAAGAGTACTGTTATAAAAACTAAACCCCAAAGAGGAGGTGAGTATAATATTAACAATGTGCCCTTCATAAAATTTATCTTCTGTGTTTGACATCAATCATCAGGACAGGAGTGCATAAGAGGCTCTCCTTCACAGGACCACATACATATGCTCCTTCTTAGCAGGGTGAGGGGAGCTCTACCAACTTCCACCACTAACACCGCTTTGACCCACCAAACATTCCTTCCAGCCTGCCTGTGTCCTCTCTCTGTTCAAGCTGAAACAAGAGTTATTGATTAGAAGCATTGAAATGGAGTGTTTTAAGATGCAGTGAAATGAGCATCCCATTTTCAAAGCCCATTGACAGCTGGAGAACTGAAAGCAAGGAAATAATGAGCGATGCAGAGTGCAAAGCCATTCTGATACTGACACAAGGCACTAGTGTGCTAAGCACCATGGCAACTTCTTTACACATACTCTTTTCATCCTCACAACAGGCAGGTACTACCATTATACACATTGTACAGCCCAGGAACTGAGGGGCTGAGAAGTTCCATGATCCGCAGCCTGAATCAAAAGTTCTTATCCATCATCCTCTTCTGTTGGTTCTAATGGTTCAAGGACAAGAGCGAGTCAGAGAAGGAGTTGGAATTCATTCATTGCCTGGCCAAATGCAGAAACAGCCACGGGACTTTGCTGTCTTGTCCTCTACAGAAAATGATCTCTTGACTATTGATTTCCTAGTTCCTGCCCATTTTATCTGAAACTGCATCTAGTTAGGCTTTCCTCTTAAGAGGATTCATTTGCTTCTAGGTATTTTATGCAACACAGGTCCCATAGCTTCTACAGCCAACCATAACACCACTACATACATTTCTCATCTCAGTAAAGGCCTCTATTAAGTACTGCAGGCTACAGTCCATGGGGTCGCAAAGAGTTGGACACGACAGAGCGCGCACAGGCCACACGCACGCGCAAGCCCACCCATCCACCCAAACAAGCAGAAGCACAACCGCGTATGAGCGCTTGTCCTAAAATTCCCAAGGTTTGTGAGTATCCTGATATAAAACACACACACTCAAAAACCAAACAGCAAACGCCTAAACTACCTCTGAAATCCTGTTCCTGTTTGCTGGATACGTTTGCCTTAGGAAAAAGGAAGGAAGCCAGGTATTACACTCAAGGTGGGGGAGGGGGCAGCCGGCGGGAGAAAACGCCCAATAATCGCAGCCATTTAGCCAACTTTTTCAAGACTCGGTAACAAAGGAACATCTATCTGTACCGGAGAACTTGGGAGGAGGGCTGGTTAAGAAAGGGATGGGCAAAGGGCCGCATACTAAGTCAGAACACGCGCTGTCAGTGTCTCACCCACCACAGAGAAACAGGCTTTCAAGAAACCGAGGCTGGACAGAGATGGGCGAGTAGAGCATCCCCGGGCCTCAAAGCCTGGCAATGCCTCAGACGTGATCTGTTAGCGTCCTTCCCAAAAGAACAGATTTCCAAAAGGAGGGACCGCTTTTGTCCCCACCTTCCGAGTAAATAATGCCAGGAGGGCAAAGGGCACATCCCCGGGGACCCGAGACGCCGGGTCGAACGCAAACACCCCAGAGAGAGCCCCTTTTGGGAAAGTGCTTCTTCCAGAACCTTCTCAACACCACTCCTGCTTTCCCCCTCGGTTCTCGGCCTGTAGAGCAGCGAGATGAAGAGGGCCGCGGTGAAGGGGCAGGGCCCCTCTCCAGACGACACCTGCGGGCCCAGGTGCGCCAGGTGCCCCCGAGGCGGGGGTAGGGGTAGAGAAGGTGGGCTCCCGGAGGCCCTGCGGGGCGCCGGGGGGCCGACCGGGGAGAAGGCGCCTCTGGTGGTGGGTGATGGGTGGGTCCCTTACGGTCTCCCTCAGCTTCCTCTCGTAGTCCAGTTCGCGCTGCAGGCTGCCCGCGCGCTCCTCCGCGGCGTCCGCCTGCTCCTGCAGGCTCCGAATCTTCCTCCGCACCGCCTCCAGCGAGCTGCTCCCCGCCATCGCGCCGGGCGGCGGCGGGCCGGCAAGCGGGCGGGCTGCGGTGGGAGAGGCGGGCTACTGCGCTCCTGCTGCTGCCGCCGCTGCCGCACTCCGAACGCCCGCCCCGCCCAGGCCGCAGCGCGCGACGGCGGCGCCCCCTGCGGCCCAGGCTCAGCCCGGAAGTCTCAGCCTCCCGGGCAGCTCAGGCGAACCGCAAGCGGGTGCGCGAGCGCCGGGGGCGGACCCAGCGGGCGGGGCGGGTCGCGCGCCGCGGACCCCGGGAATTCGCCAACCGCGGGAGGTAACGCGCATGCTCGCGGCTGCGGGGGCACCAGGTGGGCAGGAGAGGGGGCTCCTCGGCGCCTAGGATGTTACTTCGACTCCCAGCGCCCCGCCCTGGCGCCGCGGAGAACCCGGAGTAACGGATTTGGCTGCAAGGGGCGACGGTGCCGCCTACTGGTGGCTGGAGCGCTCCGCTCCGGACTGCCAGATTTCCCCTGCCCAAGAGGGAGAGAAGCCGAGCAAAGCCCCACATTTGGAGCTTGAATGTGTCCCCAAAGGGACTGTAAAGAACCCCAGAACACCAGATCCTAACCCAACAACTCTCCTCCCCTCCAAACTCAGGACGTGAAAACCACTAACATACTGTACAGAGGTTAAACCTCCTAAATGCTGTCTTGCTAGGTTACAATCTGGGTTTTGGTTCTCTTCTGGCCGTGTGACTTGGAAAACAACGTGACTTCATCTGTAAAAGCGCGGTTAATAGTTGTACGTGAGGATTATGAAATAATAGCGCTGAGCACAATACGAGGTTAGTAGGTAACTCAATGATAGCTTTAGTTAATAACAGGCATTGCCTTAGAGGAGAAATACTGTATGAAACTCCTTAAATGAACTTACAAAACAGAGACTCACAGACTTAGAGAATCAACTTATGGTTGAGGGGAAGGGATAGTTATGGAGATTGGGATGGACATGTACACTCCGCTATATTTAAAATGGATAGCCAACAAGGACAGGAAGCTCCGCTCAATCTCATGTGGCAGCCTGGAGGGGAGGGGAGTTTGGGGGAGAATGGATACATATATATTTGGCTGAGTCCCTTCCCTGTTCACCTCAAACTATCACACAATATTGTCAATCAGCTATACTCCAATATAAAAAATTTTTTTAAAACACACAAACACTGTCTTAAGAGTCAAGCTATGGCCCATAACCAGCTGTGGGACCTCAGGCCTGCCTGCCTCTCTGGAACTGATTTTCTTTTCCATAAAAAATTGTCTCAAGGGTCCCTTCTAGTTACAACCTTCTCTGATTGTAGGAAGGTTGTAATCTGTAATCTGACCAAGTCAGGGCTGGACTGAGATGCTTTTTAAAAGCACACCAAGGTAAAGAATGTGACTGCCAATGCAGGTGGGTTCAACCCCTGGATCAGGAAGATCCTCTGAAGGAAATGGCAACCTCTTCCAGTATTTTTGCCTGAGAAATCCCATGGACAGAGGGGCCTGGCAGGCTACAGTCCATGAGGCTGCCAAGGGTCAGACACTAACTTAGTGACTACACAACAGCAGTAAATGCAGACAAGATACTGAACATTTCCTTTACCCCAAGGATCCCTCAAATTGCCTTTTTGAAGTCATGTTCACTTATCTCCTGCCTCATCTCTTATATAAGCCCTGGCATCTACTATTTTTCTTCTCTATAATTTTATAATTGTTAGAATGTTATATAAATGCAACAATACAGTATGTAACCTTCAAGAAATTTAAAAAAAAAAAAAAAGCACACCAAGGAAGCCAGTAGAACCCTATGAGAGCATCCGGCTGCGGCTGGATGAAAACCAAAGTGGACACAATCTCTGGGAACCAGTCTCTCTGTCCATACATCCCTTGGGCTATGTTTTTAAATGTCTTCTAAGTCTCACAGCTTTCTTTCCTCACCTTTCTCACAGAAGGCCCTTCAAGTCAGTTCCAATGTGTTTAAGTATGGGAATAATGAAGAGAAAGAAAACACAGTTGACAGCCCCCTCCTCCTCCAAAGCCCTAACAACTGAACGTGCTTTTCTGACTCATTTGCTAAGGACATTATCACAGTCTCTGCTGAGACTCACAAGTCCCAGCGTGGGCTCTCGCATCCTGTAGGTGGAGCCTCTCGCTTTGTTTCCACACAGTTTGTCTCCTCAGGAGGGTGGTCACAACCGCTTCCCTAAGAGTATAGACAGTAGGTCTCCAACTTTGAGGGTGGGAGAGGGGGCATCTGGGAACCTTCAGGAGCCCTGGAAAATTCTGGGCACGTGCACATGCTCCAAGCAGCCAACTAGTGACTTAATGTCTTGCTTTTCAAACACCTGGGAAAGTCAGTTTCAGGTGAGTTCACTTTCATGCTGATGTCATTATACAAAAGAGTTTAGGACAGTTGTTCTCAGCCTTGGCTGCACGTTGGAATCACCTGAATATTGAACAAATACTAACACCTGGGTTCCACTCCCAGCGATTCTAATTGGCCTAGGGTGCAGCCTGGATTTTAAGTTTTTAAACCATCCATGTTTAGTTAGGGTTGAGAATCCTTGATTTAGGAAGAAAAGACCTACAGGGAATAAGGACTCACATATTGCAGATGTCATAGACATCACAGTTATTGGGGAAGGAGGTTGAGGCCAGAAAAAATGGAGTCCTTGATCCCCTCCAGCCTCATTTAGGTGAATTGACCACAAGAAACTCAAAGCCATCAGAGATTTGACCATGCGAATTACAACCTTTCAAGCTAGGAAGAGCCCATTTCTGGACTAGGATTTGTAAATTGTTTGGTAGGAAAATGTTTTTAGCAGTAGAAAAATGTGAAAATATTTTACACTGGTGAGTAATGACAATGCAATGCCCTAGTCCCAAATGTAATATGATTCGACCTCAGGAAGCTGACCTCTCTCCTACCTCCTCCTTCCCCTTGTGACATGTCTCTTCCTCCTCAGGTCTTGACTATTTTTACTAGTTAGGAATCACTCTAAATAAAGCATTTCTTCACAATGTCTTCTACATCCCTACAGGTTGCAAACAACCTAAAAGGGGAAGATAATATACTACCCCCCCCCCAAATGTACCATATTAGGGACAGTTTTCCAGTGGGAGAGGGAAAACAGCTTCAGAAACCTCCCCCTCCTTGTGGCTCCACCCACTCCCCCCCCCAACTAGCTTTAAATATCCTCTCTGCTACTTCTGCCTCATCTCATTCCAAAGCTCCCTTAAACAAGATTTTTCAATAAAGACATGATAGCACCACATAGTTACTCAATAATTATGATTATTTTCCCCCTTAAGAATTGTAGTAGCTTTTTTCTCCTCTTGCTTTCAGTCTTACTGGGCTATTTTCAAATTCTCTGCATTCTTTTCCTTATAAGGAATATCTCTCCTTGATCTATCAGCGGCTCTTTTGAAAAAGCTAAATAAACGTCCTGCTGGAGAATCTGGGGGAGACAGGCATCCTCCATTTAACCATATACGGAGCAGACATCTGATCTACATTATACAAAACTGGTGCAGAGTTATATGTGTTTTCTGGCTCTTTTTCTAAAGCCAGGTAGTTTGTAACTTATATATTTTAGCTAAATCAGTGCTTCCTTGAACCCCCTCTCCAGGGACCTTGCTCTTCACTGAAACTTTGTCTTTTTGTCAGATTCTAAATGTCCTGTGTCTGGATCTCTCATTTACAAAGCACGCTTGGAGATTACATTTCACACCTTTCACATCACAGAAAGCCTTTACTGATTTCAAAACCCAGACCCTCCATCAATGTACACTTTACTCCCATACAAAAAATTCTGCTGTTGCACTTGGTCGTTCAACTTTCTGGGCATAGCTTTCCCTGGTACTCATACATTCTTGAAATTGTTGCTCCCTTCCCCAGGAATTCTTGCCTAATTGGGCCTCTAGGCTTAATTAGCTTCCAGAATGGTGTGAAAAAGAAGTTATTCCTTTGGAAATCGAATGCCTGTCTTGACTTATGCAGCAGAAGAGGCAAGCTCTTCAGCTAAGAGATTTCAGAGGGCAGTGGACAAAATACTGGCAGAGTTTTTGTGGTGTGTGCATCACCCTTGAAACTATGTGGTGGTTGTCGGAGGCTGACAGGTCGGGGTGGGGCGAGCAGGGGAATCAGGGGGCAGCTAGCACACTATACCATATAAAGCACTGAGCTATATATAACTCCCAGCTTACTTTCTGGATCTAGTGCCCTCAGAGTGCAGACCCAAGCAAGTATCATCTTCCCAGGCAGATCTGAAGGGCTGGATTAAGACTTCCCTGGTAAGGAGGCCTCAAGGGTTTCTGAGGTCCACCATCAAGCTTAACCCTCTCAGAATAAGTAGCATGCTCTATGTCATTCTTTCAACATAGAGGCCAGGTCCTCTGAATCCTGACTAGATTGGTCACTGAAAACCAGGCCTTCCCACCCACCAGAGATGGCAAAAAGAAAGAAAGTGGAGAAAACTAGGCATTTTGCTTGCACAAACCTTGGTGATGACACCTCAGAGGTTTTCTGCCACCACGGGGAAGGGTTCACCTCCAGAGTCCAATTTCAGTTGCTGTGTTCTCCCAGATTCTCACCACCCCTACCCCCCTCCAATCCCAGGGGTGAAGGAAAGAAGGTGAAAAGAGAGAGAGGAATGGATGAAATAAAAATGATCGTGTGCAGCAGCAGTTGAGGGCAGCATCCAGTGCTCTGGGCCATGGCAGGCTGTGCGCACGTGTCCAGCTAAGAGGAGGTGACCCTCCTCCGTGGTTCTGCGGCCCCTGTGATGACCCCCAGAGCCCGGCACAAGGGCAGGAGGTGAGGGGGGCAGTGTGTGCGTGCACTTACGTCGGTGGCCTTTTTCTCCGCCAGCTCCAGCTTCTCCTGGGCATCTTTGAGAGCCTCGGAGTATTTGTCCAGTTCATCTTCGGTGGCCTTGAGTTTCTTTTGCAGCGACACCAGCTCATCTTCCAGCTGGGAGTTGGCCGTGGGGGACGGGGACGGGACGGGGTGGGGGGTGCGGCAGGCAGCGTGATCCCGCAAGGGAGGGTTGTGGGTGCGCAGAGCCAGAAGGACAGGGACAGCGGGAGAGAGAAAGGGAAAGACAGGGAGGGAGAGAGAGAGAGAGAGACAGAGTTAGCCATTCGTGCGCTGCGCCGCGCGCGCCCGGGGTACCTTGGCGGCGGCCTCGTCGGCGGCCAGGAGGCTGTCCTCTGCCTTGTGCAACTCCTCCAGCACCCGGTCCCGCTCGTCCTCCGACACCCGCAGCAGCTTCTCCTTGGCCGCTATGTCCTCCTCGAGCTGGGGGGCGGCGGCGGGCGGGCGCGGGCGGCCGGCACGGACCGGGTGTTAGACACACACACACAACACGGGCACCGGGTTGGCTGGGGCCCTTCAGTTTTGGGGCGCCACCGAGTTGGGGCTCACGGGTCCCTAGGTAACCCCCTCTTGTCCCGAGGCTACTTCATACCCCTCCACTGCTCCCGAGGACGAGACTCCTACCGAGGTCTCAGTGGGCTCAAGCCCACAACTTGGCGTTGCAGAATAAATGGATGGCCACGACTCCGAGCCCGCCATACCCTCTCTTCTGTCCCATCTTTGTTTTAACCAAAAAACTCCGTGACTGTCGCTCCCTCCTCCCTGACTTGCCCTCTCCCCCAGTTGAATGTTATATATTCCCCGGTCAAAAGTCCAGAAGAACTTATAACACTTTCTGGACTTGATTTCCTTCAACCCTCCTCCTCTCCCCCACCCCCAGATCCAAAGTTGCGTTCTGATCCTCAGAACCAAGTGCCTCTAGCACTTGATGGGACTTCACGGGCTCCCGCAACCCAAGAAGGGAAATAAGCGTCCTCGCTTCTCAGACGCCCTGGAGTGGGGGGTGGCTCCTGGAGTCCTCGGGGTGAGGGACCAGGAAGAGGTGCCAGGCCGGGTCCCGGGGTTCTGGGCCCCGGGCCGGGCGGAGCGCGGGCGACCCGCGGGCGCACGGTTGGGGAGGCGCAGACCTGCTTGCTCCTGTCCTCCGCCGCCTTCTTATCGGCCCCACGCCGCTTCTCAGACGCCCTGGAGTGGGGGGTGGCTCCTGGAGTCCTCGGGGTGAGGGACCAGGAAGAGGTGCCAGGCCGGGTCCCGGGGTTCTGGGGCCGGGCGGAGCGCGGGCGACCCGCGGGCGCACGGTTGGGGAGGCGCAGACCTGCTTGCTCCTGTCCTCCGCCGCCTTCTTATCGGCCTCAGCCTGCTCCGCTCGATCCAAGGCGTTCTCCTTGTCGAGCTTGAGCATCTGCATCTTCTTCTTGATGGCGTCCATGGTGGCGGCGGCGAGGGGCCCTGGGGCTGCGGCGGGAGCAGGGAGGAGAGCGCGCGGTGAAGCTGCGGAGCCGGAGTGCGAGCGCAGAGCCGCCTGCTGCTCCCAGATATGTACTTTCCCAAGGGGGCGACCGCATTCCTCAAGACAGCCAATACTTTTTTGGAAGAGCTTTTTTCTCCTGCCCCCTTTCCCCCTTCTCCTCCCTCCGCCCCCCGCGCCCTCCCCGCTGCTCCCGCGGGGGCTGCTCGCCCATTCGCTGCCGCCTGCCGGCCTCCCAGTTGACGGTGGATATGACTATATATGGGGACCCGAGCAGCCAGCCGAGGCAGCCGCCGGGCGAGGCCTCCCGTTTTCCAAACCTGCACGCCAGGGAGAGGGCAGAGGGGCCTCTCCGGGACCGGGGGCTTCGGTGCTACCCTCCGCCCTCTGCGCCCTCTCCTCCCGGGGTTCACGCTCCGGCCCTAGGGTCCCTGGCCGAGCCGTCCTGAGTCACAGGAGGCCTGAGGAGCGAGCCGGGCAGATAGAGGATGCGCGTCGCTTCCTGGGCTGCCAGACCCAGCGGCGCGCTAAGCCTCGGGACCTGGGGTCCCCGCAGCCACCGCAACGGCGCCCGCCCTGCCTACAGGGTGTCAGCCCGGGCTGGCTCTCATGTTCTGGAAACTCAATTGGAGCAGAGAAAGGACAAGTTGGGAGGAAGGCCTGGGGTGCTGTATATGTCTGCTGGTGCGGGCCAGAACATCTGCGAATCTGTCTTAATGCGGCTCCCTGTCCTCCAGGGGAGAGGCAGTTGTATACCTTAGGGGCATAGGACCCGGTTCTGTGTGTGCCTGTATGTGGTACTTCCCCCAAAGGATGGGGTGTGTTTGTTGGTGTGTGGGTGGGAGCTTGCGAGTTTAACAGGAAAGGCTATTGAGTTGAGAGTCAGGCAACTTAGTTTTTTGGTCTCTATCACCAGCAGCTCTGTAACCTTGACAAGCAAGTTGGCCTCTGTGCTACATCTTTAAACCTGGGGTAGATGATCCCTATGGTGCCGCCAGATCTAACTTTTAATCATTTTCCTTGCACTGAGTTTAGGGAGTTGGCTTCTTTCCATGTTAGGCACTCAGGTACTAGGTTACCAAAACACAGGGATAAATGTTATCCCAGCCAAGTCATTGTATCCACAGCTATAACTCTGAGGAGGGAACAGGCCCTGCTCTGTACAGTAAGCTCTGCTCAGAGGCAGGAGGATTTCCCCCTATACCTCTTACTCCTCCCAGTCCCCATGGGGAAAAGCCTGCTCTTTTCAGACTTTTAATGGGAAGGGAAGAAAGGGGGCTGTCCCCAAACCCCGCTTGAGACTGGCTGAGGCAGAGCTGGTGAGGGTCTTGTTAGGTCTTGTTCACAGTCCCCACAGAATAATTCACAATCTGTCCTACATGGATACTGAATATTCCCTGGACGGTATCTGAGCAGATCAGGCAGGTCAAACAACTTGTAAGTCCTTCAGAGAATGATCAATTTCCTCCCAGGATTTTATCAGGTTTCTTTCACTAACCCAACTGCCCGGGAGGGAAAAATAAAAACAAAACCTCTGACCTAATGGTCAGAACACTAGATTTGTGTGCACAGGCACTGCATGGTACAGAAATTCACCAGGACCCTTTAGTCACCACATGTGAACCCAGCCACTGGAACACTGACAGAGTTCAAGGCCTCTGGGTGACATACAGATGTGTGGGCCCCAGGGAGCTGGCTTCCTAACTTGGAGCTCAGCATAAGGGGTATGAGTAGGGACCCCAGAGTTAGACCCTGGAATCCAAAAGTGGCCTGGCTACCTCCTTGCAAGATGGCCTTAACCATGTTATAATCTCTTTAAGCTGCAGTTTTCTCTTCTGTAAGGTAGGTATACAACTTCTTCCCTCTTAGGGTTGTTACAAGGATGAAAATGAGATAACGAATGAAAAGCATTTTGTCTAGCACATAGCAAAGTGCTCAGTAAATTGTGGTTGCTCGGGTGGCAGAGGGCAAGTCATCTCTTGTCTCTGGGCCTCAGTTTTCTCATCTATAAAATGAGGCAACTGAACTAGAGAAACTCCTGGAGGGACCATGTATTAGTGAATTTTCTCCACTGTGCCAAACATTGAGAAACACGCTAAAGTCTCCTTAAATGAACCAGTGTTATAGACCATCTATTCAAACACACCACTGGTGAGCACCTCTTGTATACCAGGTAGGCACTAGGCTCCGGGGTCCCCAATTAAGTAAGACACATCACAGGTATTCAGCATAAGCAGGGGAGAAAGAAGAAGAAATGACCAGGTCAGAGCATACAGATAAAAACTATTCTGAAAAGTGGTGGTTTTTAAACTGATTTTACAGGAAGGATAGCAATTAGATAGAGAGAAGGGTATTATACGAGCCAACGATAGAAAAGAGAATATTTGCTGTTGGTTGGACAGTAGGTTCACTTGGGGGTGAACAGGGACATGAGACTGGAAAGGTAGAAAGGAAGGGAATATGGTAAAGGGGCTTGAATTTAGGGATTCAGACATTCAGGTCTTATTGTTTAAGTTTAAACCATCCATTTTTTTCTTCCCCTCCCTGCCTCTCTTACTCCCTTAGAAGTCAAAGAGTATGGTGTCCAGTATGGAAATGGAGCTGCACAAAGCCAATTTAAAAAATTCCTTGGTACCGTATCACTAATCCCTAGACTGATAGGTTAACATAACCGGTCCCTGGACTCAGTCATTTCCATTTCACCACTGGTGAGATTCTACCCCATGAACAGCCTGACAATCAACCAGGTTTAACCCAGCTTCATGGACTGCACTATCCACTACCCTTCTATAATCAAGGGTTAGGAACAGGCAAAATATCTTCACTTAAACAAGAATTTCTCCTATATTGGTTAGATCTCCTGGTCCTTGGATAGCATCAAGGGTGTGGGCTAGGGACTTCCCTGGTGGTCCAGTGGTTAAGACTCCATGCTTTCAATGTAGGGGGGATGGGTTTGATCCCCAGCCAAAAAAAAGAAAAAAGGGGTAGGCTAGACAGCCATGGGATATACAGTATATTCCTGTTCCCTACCTGATTGGCTGTGACTTGAGGACAGATCCATAGGCTAGCCAAGGATCTAGTGTTGTGGCCTGTTAGGCAGAGATGGACTGTGCCTCTGGCTTCTCTCTGACTGTAGTTTGAACTAAGGAGCATGGAAAATATGAATCCATAGCTGAAGCAGCTGAAACAAAACAGGGTTATGATCTTGGGCTGGAGATGCCTTGTATGAGGGTGATTAAGGCTGGTTAGAGATATTTGGGATTTCTTCCAAATCAGATCTTGGTAGGATTGCACATCCCCACCCAATTAAGTGTGGTCATTTGCCATGCCTTGGCCAAGGAAATGTGAACAGAGGTAACTTATGGTAGATACTAGGAGTTAGTATGACTCACTGTGTTCTTTTTCAAAGTTGTCACTGTTTTGTAGTTTGGATTTCCAAGTGGCTGTGGTAAGGAGAGTTCCCCTCTCTCCAGAACTAACCCTTAGTGGACATGCAGCACAAGCAAGATATAAACCTTTGCTGTTTTAGGCCGTTGAGAACTGGGGGCTGTTTGTTACTGAAGCATTACTAGCTTCTCCTGACTAATATATCATGACAGGCCGTGTATCATTTAAGGTATGAGGAAGCAGAGAAGTTGGTTGTAGAAAAAAAGAATGGGGTAGACATATCATGGTAAGCAGAAACACCATTAGGGAAAAAAAAGACTGGGAAACAATGACCAAATCTCAGGTCCGGGGGTCCTTATAATTACACCCTTTCTTTCCTGAGGTCACATGAGACAGTCAATGTTCCTTGAAAGTTAAACAAAAAACTGACCAGATCATGGTGGTGTGGGACCCCCACACAGTACCCTTGGTTTGGATGTTCTGTGTGAACACCAAGAACATCCTTGGAATTTCCAGAAGATTTCTCCAGTCATCTCTCCATAAATGTTTGTTGAATGACTATTTTCTTGGCTATTAACCATACAAGTAGGAGAAACAGTTCCTGGGAAGGAACCACAAGAAAACTAGACTCAAAAGACTTAATTCCATTCAAAATAGAGATTCTATGTTATACTATTTCAAGAATGGATATAAGTATTGTGATAGGATAGGACAAATGTCCCACAAATATTTACTGAGCCCCTTTTGTGTGCATGGCACTTAACTAGAGTTTATAGGATCAAGGGAGGAGGGTAAGAGATGGATCTTTTCCTCCAGGAAAAGGATCTATGTATGTTACAGGGTAAAACTCTCTTTTGGTCGGGGGTAGGATGGGAGATACAAAAGTAGGAAGTCAAGAAACACTTGGAGTAACAGGCAAATTTGGCCTTGGAGTACAGAATGAAGCAGGGCAAAGGCTAATAAGAGTTTTGCCAAGAGAATACACTGGTCATAGCAAACACCCTCTTCCAACAAAACAAGAGAACACTCTACCCATGGACATCACAAGATAGTCAACACCGAAATCAGAGTGATTATATTCTTTGCAACCAAAGATGGAGAAGTTCTATACAGTCAGCAAAGATAAGACTGGGAGCTGGGTGTGGCTCAGATCATGAACTCCTTATTGCCAAATTCAGAGTTAAATTGAAGAAAGTGGGGGAAAACCACTAGATCATTCAAGTATGACCTAAATCAAATCCCTT